TATAGTAATTACGTAAAAGGCATCTTGGAAAATAGAACATTGTGATTGATAAAATATCAAAGACCACGCTCTCAAAATCAAAGACCTCACAAACTGTCCTTTTAGACCACACGCACAAAGACCTCGTAAATTGTCCTTTTTAGAAAGACCACACTCGCGACAAATTATGGTATTCATTCAAGTGTTGAAAGTGTGTTAAAAATTACACGCAAAGATGTTGGGTAATAAAAATGGTAAGGGGGGAGGGAGGGGGTGCTTACTCTGGATTGAATGATGGAATGCGTTGGTTTTAACAGAAATTTAAGAACAAAGGTTACTAGTTGTATATGAAATGCAAAGCATTTAACACACGCAAGCACACACACATATTTTATAAAGGCTCTTTTTCATCTATAAGCAATATTTTTATAAAAAGTCAAACTATAAGACGGATGACTTTTTCTACTGATCGCATCAGTGCCTTTTGCTTGTACGACAAGAGTGGTTATGTAGGAAAACATGTCTATCCTCGTGCTGCTACTTGTTTGTGCCTATTAACTTCCATAGTTATTAACGCTTCAGCCCACTGAACAAAATAGAACATCAGAGCTTTAAAAACCTCATGTTCCTTCTTTGTAGCACAAAACACGGAAACAAAAAGCCGATGAAATATAAGATCTGTTCAAGATTAACTTTAGTGTCACCTGAAACATACAGTATCGTTTGTACCATTCAGTGATTATTTTGCGGTATGAAATAAGAAATTTAATACCTATGATGACTTGGAGTTTTTATACCTTAGCGGACCCTAGCGTTTTTATGAGGGAGGTGTGTAGGGGGGGGGGGGCTTCCGAGGTTCCGCTTGCATGTCTGAATGCATGAAATGATAACATAAATAATAAAAAAGCAATAATAATGAACAGTTGTGGTAATAATAATAATAATAATAATAATAACGCTAATTGGTAAAGCCCCCGCCCCTCATCTAATGAGCTCACTGGTTCTGCCGATATGAATTCAGCTTGCCAGTGTCTTTTTTAACGTAAAATGTCACATGTAAAATACAAATTTAAACACAGTACACAGACAAGGTACCTTTACTTTGTGGTAAATGTACTAGTAATGCACAGAAGAGTATGGCCTAATTGCAGTATTATGCAGAAATAATTAGAGTGTCGGAAATTAGAGCTAACGTCCCCATAAAATTTCTCAGCGTAGTGAAACATGGCATCGACCTCTCTCTCTCTCCCTCTCTCTCTCTCTCTCTCTCTCTCTCTCTCTTTTCAGTCACAGTTACAGGCGTCTTCATTTCAGTGACATCAAAGTTTTAGTTTGACAATATATTTGCGCCTGCGGACGTTGAGCATGTGCAAGCTCATATGTAAAATAATAATAATAAAAATAGAAATAATAAACCTTCGCGCACATACAAGTCCATTTGACCGTACACCTGTATATAACACACATATACCATCACAATACCGTCTTTTATTTACACAGAATTGAACACAATAGTGCACCATCCACGTGCAATTGATCCACACTTCACTAAGCCCACATATATACCGTACACAGCTGATTTCAGCAGCAAGTGACGCATGTATTGATCTCAAATGTGCATTTGGGACGCTACTAAGCACATTGTAATTAAGTCTGTACTTCCATTTTAATCTTCACTTATTCATATTTCAAACAGACCGAACTAGAACGCTCCATATGCGGGTATTGTTAGCCACATTGCAAGTTCAGTTGATGTGCTACGCTGCTGCATTATGCTAAGGTTGTTTTTCTATAGTAAGCACGTTACGCAGCGACACACAGAATAAGGCACATATAATATCCAGTGACATTATGTGGCGGGTCACACCATTTCGGAGCCGTTTAGGACTGGAATAGGGAAAGAGAACACCATAAATCTAAGCTTCAGCATGATCGCGAGAGACAGGAGAGACGATAGCTGAGTGTTCTTAAGAA